TTTTGCCTAATCTTTCAGTGCAGCTTGAACTTCTTCCTTTATTATGATTGATTTTTGCTCATATGCCACCTCTGGAAGTGGTTGAGTTTCAACTACTTCTTTTTGGTACAGTGTATTCTTTTCATGTTCTTTGGATGCATCATGTATCATTCAATATTTTGCTCATCGAATCTTTCAATATTGCAACTCAAGACTTGACTTTGCCCTGGAGTTCTTTCAGTTTAAGACATGCTAAGCATGTTCCTCCTTTTCGGTTTTGCACATTTCATTATAATATTGATTTTGTCTTCTTGAGCTGTCCTTTGGAAATTTCTGCTCAGCTCTTTACTTCATTCTTTCTTTTGTTGTTGTTGTTTTTTTAAATCGTTTTATTAGGGGCTCATACAACTCATCACAATCCATACGTACATCAGTTGTGTAAAGCGCATTTGTACATTCATTGCCCTCATCATTCTCAAAACATTTCCTCTCCACTTAAGCCCCCGGCATTAGGTTCTCATTTTTCCCCTCCCTCCCCGCTCCCCTCTCCCTCATGAGCCCTTATAAATTATTATTTTGTCATATCTTGCCCTGTCCAACGTCTCCCTTCACCCACATTTCTGTTGTCCGTCCTCCAGGGAGGAGGTCACATATAGTTCCTTGGAATCGGTTCCCTCTTTCCTACCTACTCTCCCTCTACCCTCCCAGTATCACCACTCACACCACTGGTCCTGAAGGGATCATTCACCCTGGATTCCCTGTGTTTACTGTTCTATCTGTACCAGTGTCCATCCTCTGGTCTAGCCAGACTTGCAAGGTAAAATTTGTATCATGATAGTGGGGGCGGGGAGGAAGCCTTTAGGAACTAGAGGAAAGTTTTATTTTTCATCATTGCTACATCGCACCCTGACTGGCTCATCTCTTCCCCGAGACCCCTCTGCAAGGGGATCTCCAGTGGCCTACTCATGGGCTTTGTGTCTCCACTCCCCACTCCTCTCATCATTCACTATGGTAAGATTTTTTGTTCTGATGATGCCTTATACCTGCTGGTGTGCTTCTTCCATGTGGGCTCTGTTGCTTCTGAGCTTGATGGCCGCTTGTTTACCTTGACTTCATTCTTTCTTCCATTTGTCTTAGCTATTGTATAATTGAAAAGCAAGTTTCAAAGTCTCTTCTGACATCCACTTTGATCTAGTCTTTCTCTCCTGTCTTTTTAATGACCATTTTCTTTCTTCATAAATTATGTTCTTGATAGCCCACCACTCATCAGGTCTTCTGTTATGTGTTCAGTGCAGCAAATCTGTTCTTGTGAGGTTCTCAGCATTTAGGGGGGTTAGACTCAAGGACATATTTTGGCTCACTTGTACTTGTTTTAATTTTTCTCAGCTTCAACTTCAACTTACATAAGAGCAATTGATGTTCTGCTTCTCAGGCAGTTCCTGAACTGGTTTTAGCTACTGATATTGAGCTTCTCTATCACTTCTTTCCACAGATGTAGTCAATTTAATTTCTGTATATTCAATCTGGGCAAGTCCATGTGTATAGTCATCAGTTTTTGGTTGAAAAATGGTATTTGCATTTAAGTAGTATTTGGTCTCACATACTTCTATCATGCAATCTCCAGCTTCATTTATAACACCCAAAACTTATTTTTCAACTACTATTCTTCTTTGTTTCCAAATTTTGCATCCTAATTGCCAATAATTACCAATGCCTCTTGAATACATGTTTGATCAATTTTGGATGGAAGATTTTGATATAATTCTTCAGTTTCTACATCACTAGTTTTAGTTGGTGCCAATGCTCATGAAAAAAGCAAGTTGCATAGAAAGTATAAGGTAGTACTTGGTCTTTTTTTCTCTCTCCCTGTAGATTGAGTTCCAGTCGCCTAATATTCTTGATCTCTCTTTACTCGTACTTACTTGTCCTTAGGGAAAGAAGAGCACTGATGTGCTGGTGTGCTTGGGAGGAGAAAATGATTGTCCATTTCTCCTTTGATCTAGCCAGCTACAGGGTGCATGAATCCTGTCATTCATAGTAGCAGCCTTCTGCTTCCACACAGGAAGGCCTGGGATTTTCCAACCCAGGTATAATTTACAGTTTGTTGACTTCTGGATTGCACACTTTGGAAGACCTCTTTCCTGCAGATCTATGTCATTTTAAGATTGCTCCATTAAAAGTTGATCTTTTGATTTAATACTTGCCATGCATGTGTTTTATTTCTTACTTGCTTCAGAATTTACGCTAGAATATAAAGTGCTATTTATTGGACTCCTCTCAAATGTGCTGGACTGTTCGCACCATCACAGCTAGATCCTAAATTCTGTGGAGACTCTTGCTGTTAGGAGCCATCCCGTTGCCTCTAATGCGCGGTGACCCGATGTACAGCAGAAGGAAACACTGTCTGGTCCTCTGCCATCCTAATTGCTCTTATGCTTTAGCCCATTTTGGTCAATTCCTCTTGTTGAGGATCTTCCTTTTCACTGCCCCTCTACCTCACCAAACTTGATGCCCTCCTCCAGGGGCTGGTCTCTCCTGAAAACCTCTCCAAAGTACCTGAGAGGAAGTCTCACTCTATTGCTCATGTCTTTGCTCTTCCTTCCAGACTGTCCCTGTTTGGCTTATTAGTGCCCAAGGTTGTTGTTGAAAGGCCTAATTGATCTCTCTTCCCCAGACCAGAGCTGCTTCCAGTACATATTCCACACAACTGGCAAGATAATTCTTGAAGTAGAAATTTTATGATTTGGGGCATTTCTCCAGAGGTGTTAGTTTTCATATCAAATTCCTGTCTTGTGTGAGTCTGGCCTTTATGGTCAAATAACCATCTCTCCTCCAGATCCACATCCAATGATTCCAACAAATGCATTCTTAATATATTGTAGGACTTTTTCATGCCAAAAACTTATGGTATTTCATTTTACTTTATCTATCTATCTATCTATCTATCTATCTATCTATCTATCTATCTATCTATCATCTAGCTAGCTAGCTATCATCTATCATCTATCTATTTATTACTATTTTATTGGGAGCTCTTACAGATATTATAACATTCCATAGTCCGATCACATCAAGCAGTGTTATACAATTGCTAACACAATCAGTTTCTTTCTTCTTGAACTCCTTAATATTATCTCCCCTTTATCCTGTCCCTCCCCCCAGAAACCCTTATTTTTATTTATTTATTTTTTGCAGCATCTTACACCAGTCAGAATATTCAATTACATACAATTCTGTTGTTCTCTCCCCTTGAGTAGGGTCATAGAGTCATCAGTGCTATCAGCTGCTCCCCCCACTTCCCCATCACTTCCTGTTCCCTCAGGGAACCATTACTTCTGTTACTGTTTCTGAAAGGTAAACTATCTTGGTTTTCATGTATTGAACTAAATTACATAAATGAACAGACGCAAGTCTAACAAGATTAATGAGGTAAAACAAATAAAATCCATAATAGTTAGGGTTGGAACTATTAAAGAACTGGAGGATAGTTACGTGCTTCATCAGAGCTATTTATTATTTTATTATCCCTTCCATGTGACCCTTCTGAGGGACTGTCCAATTAACTTTCAGGTGGGCTTTGGGTCTCTACTACATCTCCACCCCTTCACAATGATATGGTTGCTTGGTTTTGGACTTCTGATACCTCAGGATATTTCTAAAAAACAAGCAAATACGTGATTTTTCTGCCCTCATAAGCATTTCCCCCCGCCAAAATACCTCATAGACATCTCTATCTAGCCATTATCATCCAATCATTGTTAAAATTTTAAAGTTTAGTTTGGGAATCACCTTGAGAGGAACCCTTTCCTTACTTTCAGCTGCTATTAGCATTTTCTTTTCTTTTCTTTTTGTGTGTGCCTTTTAACACACCATGCTTTCATCTTTCACCGATGTTATTCCTTCCTGCTATTCCTTTTATCTTTACTCCTCCATCGACTTCCTCTCTTCTTGCTTCCATCTATCCCTTCATGCACTTGTCAGTAATCATGTGCTGGGAAGCCTGAAGGCACAGTGAGCCATGCATAGGGCTGCCAACTGCAAAGTCAGCAATTAGGATCCCCCACCCCAAACCTCTCAAGGGAGAAAGATAAGACTTTCTAATCCCATGAAAATGTACAGTCTCTGAAACCTACAGAGCCAGCTCTACTCTCCTGTAAGTCATGAGTTAGAATGGACTCGATGGCCGTAAGTATGTGTCCCAAAAGTACTATGGTTTATGGCTTGCGCTGTGCTTGCAGGGGTGACTAGACTGTATTATTCGTGCTTCCATGGGTTATAATCTTTATCCAAGACTTAAAACACAGAACTGTAATGAACCATTTACTTCATTACACTGTACACTAGTGTGTAAAGGATTTTATTTTGGAGGAGGTGAATTTGTCTTTATATACACCTCATCTGTCATGTATATGAAACATGAAATTTATCAATGAATGATATTGATTCACCTAATTACGCATTCATAAGCTTGTATACAACTTTTTCAACTACTATAATTTCAGAAATTGTGGTGTTCATTGTTCATATGCTTCCTGATTAATACTTCTTCTCCAGAAACCTCCTGCCACCTTGAATCTTGAGTACATAAAACAAAGATTAGGAAATATTTGAAATTTATATTTATTGTAGCAGTGGCAGCACAAAGCTTATTTACCTGAAGGACTAGGCAGATTAGTCAAACCTTGACTTTAGTCTCTAATGTCAGCATCTGGAAAGATTTTACTTCCTATTGCTCTTCTAACCCTGACCTTTGGACTTTCATTTATTCAATGACTTTAGAATACCTTTTCAATAATTTTTAATCTGTACTTCCACCTATATTATAATCAGATATGCAGTTATTTGCCTTTTCTTTAGACAGGAATCCTAATTTATATGCTAACATAAAGGAATTAAGCATATTAGCAAATACTGTCAAATGCTCTTTATAAGTTGAATAGGAAGCACACTTAGAAGTGTTCCATTGTTTAAAATCTCTAAGGAAAGGCCTGTCAAATGATGCTTTCCTATTGTTTCTTAAGGTAATTTGCCAGTGGACTTCCCAGCACCACCAGAAACTTCTGTTCCAGTAACATTACCTCCACACAACTGCAAAGAAAACGAATTTGTCTGCAGGTCCAATGGTCACTGTGTTGAAAAAATGCAGAAATGTGATTTTAGAAATGACTGTCCTGACAAATCAGATGAATCATCCTGTGGTAGGTGAATCCCTCAAATGCGTATTAAATATAGCAGTAAAATAGATAAGATAATCCTAAAGGCATAGTTAGAAATGCTCAACTTTTCTAGAGCAATTTCTTAAGATAAGAGCTCTTTATATAAATGGCTAAAGTCAGTATATATTCTTCTGTCAAGCTCAATGAGAGATAAATGGATTTGGATGAATGATTTGTATCAAAAACAATTATCTGGATTACACAAAGCTGAGAGATTGGGAGAAAAGCTGAGTAGATCAGATTAATCTATAGATTACACTGAAAGAAGAGAAAGTTACTTATTTCCTACCCCTGACCAGTAACAGTTCTCTGATCTAATCAGATGTTACTCATATATAGAGAATAAACCATATTTGAATCAATTACAGCGATATGAAAAACAAGCCACTTGACCTGTTAATATAAGTGAATGGATGCTCTATTTTCCTTTTTCTAGACCATTCATTACTAAAAAGTCTAGGATCATTTTGAATCCCTTGATAAGAAGCTTGGGAACGTTGTCTTCATGAACTTGACTTCAGGGTTGTCATATAGCACTCGTCTGCTCAGCGTTCCAAAGCTGAAAATGCAGAGGCAAGGTCAAATTTTGTGGGTTGCCTAAGTATATATATGTCAAATATGCAGAGGTCACGAGAAAGCCATTTGTAATATGGATATGACTTTAGACACCTGAGACCTGGTGAAAAATGGGTTTTATTTAATGACACTTGACTACTGTTTTTCCTAAATGATTCAAAGGCCACACTTTAACTCAAAATTAAACTTCACAATAAATCTCAGAAAGAACAATTAATCTATAGGGAGTGAAGCACTGGAGCAGAAGGAATAAGTCGTTGGAATATTTTCCCTTCCCTGCACCTTTGAGATTCTCCTTTTGCCATAACTTCTGAATTTACCAGAATACCATAAATTTCTAAACTGTCCTCAGGATACCCTGGGTCCCAACCTACTGATAACACAGAGTAGAATGGAACTCTTAGCTATTGTACATCAGCCCTCTGAAGAAATTCTAAGACTTAAAATATCATGTAAGCTTCATATTCTATTGTGTTAACACCCAGTGGAAGCATGGAGTGGCTTCTTACATGTGCAGTATACATTTAGTAGTTAATATAAACTATAAGAAAAGTAGCAGAATGAAATCAGATAGTGGCACACTGTGTGAATGAGAAGGGATGGTAATTAATTTGTTTGTTAATTATACCGTAAATCACAGGTGGAAGCTGATGCAATGGAGAAGTTGTGTTATTCATACTTTCTCATGGAAAGACACTAAATTCCTCTTATGGTTATACTTAGGTTGTACAGTTTTTGAGACTTTATGCCAAATGTAATTAAATTGCAATAGTGAATTTCTTTAGTAAAGTCTGAATTTCAAAAAAAAAAAAAAAGTCTGAATTTCTTAGTTGACTGCAATTTAAGTAATGTCATTTTTGACTGGATGAGAATTTACGTTTCCAGATGAATAGATACTATGTAAATATATAAGAATAATGTGAATTTTCTAAAGAAACATTAATTAAATTACTATCATTTTATTTATGACTAATTTGTATGATCTTGCCTCTTCCATCTCTTTATAAGATAGAATATTATGATAAATCTGCTTATATTTAATAACCGTAGATTATTTAATTATTTTAAATGCTAATTTTTCCTTTTTAATAGTCATGAAGAACATTGTTGAATTGATTAATAAACCCCTTCACAGAGATAAATATACCTAATCTATATGACTATCAAATTAAGTAGCAAACCTGCATGTCATTATCAACAAAGCACTTTCTTTACGGGGAGTGTATCTAATTTTACAATAAATCATGATTCCGTATCTCTAGATTCTAAAGGTGGGAGTCTTATGCCCTCACTGTGTTTATCCTTTAAAAGTAGAATCTATAGAAATTAGTTGAATATTGGTTTCTTTACAGTGTACAAAATAATTCATTGAGTCCCTTTTTTTTTAAACTGGAAGGAGTAGAGAACATAGACACAGAGACATCATCAGAGAGAAAGAGAGAGAGAGAGCAAGAAAAGAGGGCAGGAGTGAATTTACAAATCCTTTTTTACCATCAACTAGTTTATGGATTTAAAACACGGAGCTTATAAATTACCTGTGAGTTTAGAGTACAGCAACGACAAGTATCTTGAACAGTTGCAAAGAAACAGGTCTGATATAAAATCTATTGCTAATCTCATGTATTGAATTTAAATAGATTGGGATTTGGATTAACTCCTTCTGAGACGGAGCTGAAATTTAGCTGGCATAAAGGAGAGCAGATGTGAGAATTTAGATGTTGGTTGGTCAGGCAAGCAGTGTGACTGCTTTGTTATAAGAGGCTGGTGGTGTTTAAAGTGGTGCTTTGGGATGCTGATTAAAATATCACCTCCTCACGAAAGCTGATTCACTGCTAGATGCATTTTATTCCATATTTCAGTGACTGCATATATTTGAATATAATAAGGTGAAATTATAAAACAGTCATTATATAGGTAGCTTGCTTAAATACTCTAAAAGTTAGAAGGTACAGTATAAAAATAAAATAGTAATAGGGGAATTCTGGTGCAGACAGTACTTACCATTATCTACACATCTATTATGATTATCTTGTTTCTTCTCTCTGTTTGTTTTCACTCCTCTTAAGTTATGGAAGTTTGCAGCTTTGAAAAAGGAAGCCTGTGTCAGTGGCACCAGCCAATCCAAGTCAATTTATTTCAAGAGTTGAATATATTCAGATGGGGTCTTGGTAGTGGGAAGAGCATTCATCATGGGGAAGAAAACCACAGGCCATCGGTGGATCATACGAAGTAAGTGATTGCATAGTTTGAAACATCACATAAGAACTGTTCAGTTTAACTAGCTTTCAAATGTGTGCCCTGATAACTTACTCTAGGCCAGTTCCATTGTAAAGGTAAATGCTTAAAGAATGACAAAGCTAGGTGCATCTAGAACACACAATTGAAAAATATAATGAAAATGACCTTTTTGGGTAACAGTTACTATTCGAGGGTAGACACATGTTACTTGGGTGAAAGAGAAGGTAACATATAATTAAAGGCAAAAATAATGGAGGTGGTGAAAACCCTGGTCTGATTGCCCGGGTTACAGTCTTAATGGATGATTATATTATAACTTAAAATAGTAGTGCATGCTTTTGTGAAAATATCAGAAACCTGAGAAAAGCATGAGGAAATAAACAGAAATAATTTGCAATATCACTGCTCATTGAAAAGCACTCTTCATTTGCTGTTTGAAAATTCTCTGTTTATTCTCCCCCAACCCGTCTCTCCCCTTCTTTGTATTTCTCTTCTTGTTCTTCTTCCTCCTGTCCCCATTTTCAGTTCACCGAATCTCCCTTCCTGTCCTCTCCTCTCTTTCCTCGTCTGTTGTAGGTTTGTTATCCACATGTGTATGTCAATGCAATGTATGCACACATGTTTGAACAGAACATTTCCCCCACCTTGTTATAAAGCATGACCACATTGCCATTCCATTGAACACTCATCTGCAACACAATTTGTATTTCATCTAAGAGCCTTTGGTAATTTACTAACTTTACTGGTAGACTGCCCAGTTAATTACACTTTCAATGTTGCTGTAAAGAATAAATTATTCAGCACAATGCTGAGGAATAGACAGTAGGCTGCTAACTGCAAGGTGAGTGGTTCAAACCCATCACCTGCTCCTCAAGAGGAACACAAGTCTCTCTGCTTACACCAGCACCAATAGTAAAGTTAAAACAAACAAAGAAAGAAACAAACCAAAAAAAACAATTAGAAACAGAAAATAAAAAATCCTGGAGAAACTGTGGAGAGTTTGGACCTTCATCTACTATTGGTAAGACTGTGTATATATATACTGACATTTGATAGCACTAGTTACGTTTTTATCATTTTCATTAATGATAATAACAGGGAGAATCGGGGTTGATTTAGTAAGGCGAATATGATGATCTGAGTACTATAAATAGTTGTTATAGAGGTAGCAATTAAAGTTAGAATAAGGGCTCAGGCGTTGGTTGTATACATATATACAACCACTGTAGAAAGTGAAATGGTACTACCTCAAACAACTGGGAAGAGGAATCCGGGTATCCATAACACAAACAGACAGATGCACTGCCATGTTCATCACAGCACTATTCTCAGTAGCAAGGAGATGGAAACAACCTAAATGTCCATTGGTAGAAGAATGGATAAAGAACCTCTGGGACATCCATAAGATGGGCTACCATGCATTGCTATAGACCAGTGACAAAAGAACGAGGGGCCTCATGACACGCATGGAACTGGAGAATAGTACTCTGAATAAACTTAGTCGATCACAAAGGACAAAGATTATATGACACCACTGAAATAAGGGTTCCAGGTGTCAGATAAAGACTCATATCAGAGGTTTCTAAGGGGTGGAGCAGAGGTTGTGTGTGTGTGTGTGTGTGTGTGTGTGTGTGTGTGCGCATGCGCGTGCGCACGCGCGACGGGGCTGATGAGACATTGAGCTAGCCTGTTGACAGGTGTTGACTAGGGTGAGATGGAGAAATGTGGGCCATGGGGGGTAGGGGTAGTTAGGAGAGTTTGATTAGTGGTTTGGATTGCTGGATGCAAAATTGATCATCTAAAATGAAATTTCCAACTATTTTATCATTCTTTTTAAGAATTGTAATCTGAGAAAACTTAAAGGGAAGTTCAACCCTATCCTATAAGGTCACAATGTGTTGATAGTAGTAGTGGGTAGTGTAGTAGACACTGTCTGAGGCACAGGAGATAAACCACATCTCATGGGGGAGCCGAGCAATAAATAAATAAGTAAATATTTCAAGGGGTCGTAAGGGCTGAGATGAACACTGGAAACAAAGAGAAGGTGGTGAGTGGTGGATGTGGATGGAGTCTATGCATTGGTTTTATTTGAATTTTAACTTAGACTTTATATGATTCAAATATTTCTGATCTTAATGTTACATCTTGATTTTTGTTACAATATTCTTGTCGATAGTAGAGTGTATAAATACCCCACACTTTTAGCTTTCTTAAACTTCTGTGAGCCCAATCTTCTTTTTCTTAAACATCAGTATTATTTTGTAAATACTCAAGTACGTAAGCTAATTGATTTCCGCTCCCCTCTCTCCATTTTGTCTTTGGATGTCTCCTTCTGTCCACCTTCCCTGGTCTCTGCCAAGGTCTCGTTGCCTTAGGGACTTGTGTTTTCCTGGTACATCCCCTCAGCCATTAAGAGATGTTGCATCATTGCATCCCCCAATTCTAAAAGACCACTGCTTCTTGCTTCTCTTTTAAGCTCCATATTGTCATTTTCCCCCCCGAGCTCCATATTTCTGAACTCTATTTTCTAATTTCAAGTTTGTTGATGTCTCTTTTATTTATTAAAGAGATATCGCACATGTCTACTGAGCCTTGCATCTCCATTAATGTTCAAAAGAAAGATGTTTACAAGTCACTCTGAAATATGACTAGTGCCCTTTATGTGGTAGACTTTGTTGGGTGATGGGTTTGCCTTATTAATTAGATGGCACCGCAATATGTTTTGAAATATAAATATTCTCTAATACTACACAGTTGAATTATCTTTTCCTTAATATTTACTTATATACTCTACCTGGAAAGTTTTGCCCTCTGATAAATACATAATAATGAACCCATAGCTTGTGTAGTGTTTATTAATAGCAGGTTTTAGGGGCAAAAATCTAAAATGTCTATGAAAATGCGAACTTTACCTTGGAAGAAGAATACATTCTGAAAGTTAATCAACAAGGAATACATATCCATTCTGATGCTGCAGAATATATGAGTTTAAAATGGTGGACATCTTAGAAAACATAGTAAACACAATTATAATGAAGTTTTCTGATTGTAGTGCATTTAGATCTAGCCTTCCAGTTTTCAAGTACTCATCTTTCTCCAGCCTCTCTTCCACCTTTTATTTTCAGCACTGTTTCCATCCACCACTTGTCTGCCAGTGTATCGCACTGTGGTGGCTTGTGTGCTGCTGTGATTCTGGAAGTGATGTCACTGACATGTCAAATGCTGGCAGGGTTGCACAAAGTGAAAAGGTTTCAGCAGGGCTTCCAGACTCAGAACAGACAAGGAAGAAGGACTTGTCTGCCCACTTCCGAGGCAGAAGCCGATGCATCCTTCTGCAGAGCTTCGAAGCATTTTCAAATACGGAAAGTCTAAACAAAGGGAGATGCAGCCAGCAAATGGCACCCTCAGGTCTGAGGGCACTCAAAATGTGACAGAGAGCAGCTCGGTTCTAAAAAGGGAGTTGCCCTTGGTGACATGAGTCCCATAAAGCCTTTGGGAATAGAGTCCGGACTCTTGATTTGCTGATGGGGGCAACTCAAAGCAATGAGAAACAACTGCAAAAATCTTCTAATGACGTGACCATGGAACGTGAGAAGTATGAATTCAGGAAAGTTGGAAGTGGTCTAAAAAGAAATGGAATGCATAAAGATCTACATCCTAGGCATTAGTGAACTGAAATGGACTGGTGTTGGCTCTTTTTAATCAAAAAATCATATGATCTTCTATGCTGGGGATAACACAACTTGGAGGAATGGCATGGAATTCATTGAAGGAAAGGAACTTGCTAAATCCATCATGAAGTATAGTGCTATCTGTGACCAGATTATATCCATCTGCCTTCAAGGAAATCCAATCAATACAACTATTATACAAATTTATGCATTGACCATAAAAAATAGTGATTAAGAAATTACAGAATTCTACCAACTTCAACCAGAAGTTGATTAAACATACAATCAAGATGCATTGATAGTTACTGATGATAGCCCTGGTTATTGGAATGCAAAAGTTTGGAAACAAAGAGGAAGGAACAGTAGTTGGAAAATATGGACTTGGTGATAGAAATACATTTGGAGATCGCATGATAGAATCTTGCAAAACCAATGGCTTGATCATAGCAAAAATCTTTTTATCAACAACACAAAAGGTGACTATACACATGAACTTCCCCAGATGGAATAAAGAGAAATTAAATTAACTACATCCATCGAAAGACATAATGGGGAAGCTTACTATTAGCAGCTAAAACCATAGCAGGGGCCCATTGTGGAACAGCCTCTCTATTGATTATGTGTCGGTTCAGTGTAAAGCTGAAGAAAATTAAAAACAATCAAAAGGGGCCAGATACAACCTTGAGTCTATCTTTTAAAAGAATTAGTATTTTAATTTTTAATCAGCTTATTGGGAGCTCTTACGCATAACATTCCATAGCTCAATTGCATAAACAGCATAATAAAATTGCTATCACAATCAGTTTTTAAACATTTTCTTTCTTCTTGAATTCCTTGATATCAACTCCCCTTTATCTCCGCCTCTCCCCACCTGACACCCCAGGAACACTTATTTATTTATGCCATATTTTACACCATCCAATAGATCCATTCACACACAATTCTGTTGTTTGCTCCCCTCCAGTAGGTTTATACATTCATCAATACTATGGTCTCCCTACACCCCTCCTCCTTCTTTCCATACCCTCAGGGAACCATTACTCCTGTTATGATTTCTGAAGAGTTATCTATCTTGGCTTTCATGTATCTAAGTATCTTAAATATACAAATAACATATGCAAGTCTAACATGATTAATGAGGTAGAACAATTAAAAACCATCATAGAGGAGGAAATATTAAGGAACTAAAGGATAGTTATATGCTTCGTTAGTGCTATATTGCACCCTGGATTTATCTACATGGACCTTCTGAGAGGGACTGTCCAATTACCTTACAGATGGGTTTTGGCTCTCCACTAAAACCACACCCCTTCCCATCAA